ACACAGACGACAGAGTAAGTAAAACTTAGTTGTTCTATTCTATTACTATATATATATATATATATATATATATATATATATTCACACAAAGAGGTTAAGATGGTAGCACCACCTGAGTTTCAACTGCACTACAAGTCTTGGTTTCCATTCTTATCCAATGCTTAACCCATTTCAAAAATTTCTAATGGTTTCCAAAATTCTAACCCATTCTAAAAATATTAACGGTCGGTTTCCATTCTTATCAATGCTAACCCATTTCAAAAATTTCTAATGGTTTCCAAAATTCTAAATATTATTAACCCATTCTTATCGATGCTAACCCATTTCAAAAATTTCTAATGGTTACCAAAATTCTAAATATTATTAACCCAATTATTAGCCCCTTATTTTCCCCCTCAAGCTAGCCCCTTATTTTTTTCTTTCTCAAGTTACCCCCCTCAAGTTACCCCTTTGTCCAGTAAATCGAATATCAGACATGTGGCTTTTTACGTTTAAACGAAAATAAACTGTCCGATATTTGAATTGCCGATTAGCTCTTTGGCTCCTTTTTTGCGAAAGAGGCCAATGGAGCTGCAGCGCCAGTTGAATCCAAAAAGGATGCCCATTTGAATAAAAAAATGATATATAGCATAAAAAAATAAAAATTAGGTATTTAGGGCACATAATTTGAGTTTGATTGATTAATCTTCAAACTTCCACGTCAAATATGCTTCTAAGGAATCAAAATCTTCTAAAAAAAACTACAATAGATTTATAAAACATCAAAAATTAAATCTAATACCAATGGGTGATGTTTTGATCAATTTTTGTTAACTTTGATAAACCTTTGATCCTAAAAAAATCACCAAAAACTAATTTTTTGGCTCTAAAATAGGCTCCAATAAGTTTTAGGTTTTAAATGAAGTTAAAATCATCATTCTATCCCTTTATATTTTAAAAATAAGAATAAATATTAAAAAAAATCAAGTCCTACACCCATGTCATAACTTTTCTAGAGATCTGTGTCAAATTTAATAGTGATCCTTTGAGGTCATACACAAGTGTGTATGGGAGGGTCTCATAGGATTATTACTCATATAAAATATTACACTTTTTATATATAGGACATGATGAACAAAATAATGTCAACCATCTCTATATCTCTCTCCTTTTTTGGTCTTCTTCCTGGTTTTCATAAAGTGAGTTTTATCTTTTTAGAAAATTAATCGAAAATTTTGGTTCTCTGCTAGTATCGAAAATTGGCCAAAGATTGTTAGTATCGAACTCTCGAATCAAATGAGACTCGCACATAAAAGAATGAAAGAATTGCATCAACAACACATGATGAATTAGATCTCAAAAAAAAAAAAGTGATTTCTATCCGATCTATTCATATTTGTGTTTTGTTCTTTCGAAATTAATGTTGGAATCCTATAATTTAGCTTGTCAAACATGAGAGAAGAGAGAATTTCACATGGAGTGAAGTGAGGCGATAGAAGAGGGGAGAGAATTGGGGAAATTGGAGCACCAAGATGCTCATATTTTTGTCTCGATTAAGGTGAAAAATCTGCACCATCCAAATATGTAGGTAGTGTATACGGCTGCAGTGGTAACTCAATAAGTGGGATTGCATCCTTGGGAAGATCTCTTGCAGATAAAGTTTCACATCTATGCTTCAGATGCCGAAGTGTTACCTTACACGGGCGGTTTGTCTTCCCAAAATTCCCTAGTTAACCACGCCCTATAGAAACTGCAACGGCCCATTTTCAAACACATATAAATTCGTTTGTAAAAAGTAAAGGACGGGGTTAGCATTGAGCTTGCCGTATATTTTAGAAATCCGAGTTTGGCAATAAATATATATTTTAAATATAATTTGATTTTAAATTTTAAAAAATATATAATTTTTAACATAAAGATCATGAATATGAATTTTTTTTAAAATAAAAATAAAAATAATAATCATATTAAGAAAATATTTGGACTGTTAGTTATAATTATTTTTAGATGAACCACGTATTTGCATGTATCTTTAAGATGGATGCTTTATGTACCTTTCGAATGCGGCCCATGAAACAATGGTTCAAAAGTACAACAAGAAATGTTTATTGGAAAAATTACACATATGTCCGTTATAGTTTCCGTTATTACGGAGCTACCGAATAATTTACGTTATTATTTGGATGTCCGTTTTTTATTTTTGCATAACGTAAATTTTTTTAAAAAACGATTTTGTCATTTTTCGATTGTTCAACCACCAAATTCAAAGTATTTTCGGTCGTTCAACAACCAAAACGGGATTAGCTCGATTGAACTTCCCGTGATGGTTTCGTTTGTTCAACAACCGAAATTCTACGGGGCTCGTTTTAAAACACTGGATCTGTTTCTTGGAGATCACTGGTCCAGGTATTTCTCATTCTCCCCATTTTTCACTCTCTTTTACCTTTCTCACAATCTAAACAACTATTTAGATCTGGATAAAAACATTAGTGAATGCAATGTATTGGTCATTTTGATTTTTATAATGTATTGGTCATTTTGACCCATCAAATTCGTTCAATGAATTTTGTTAAAAGTGCAGTGCAGGGTTTTGTTGGTATCATATGATTTTTTATATCATATCTTTTGTTGTGTCAAATTTTTTTGTATGCGCTCTCTGCTATCTGGCAATGTGAAATTTTGTATATGGCCATTGTCATCAATCTTTGGTTATCAAGCATATGTGTGATATGGCAAGTTTGAGGAGAGAGGAGGAAAATAAAAAAACCCCCACTCTTGTAAGGGATTTTGAAAGGATCCGGTTGATTTTAGTCTTAATAAGTAAAACATTACATTGTATTTTGAAAGGATTTGGTTGATTTGGTCATCAGATGTCACCTTGAAGCTTATTTTTTGTGGTAACTCTAGGTGTCAATCTGGCCCATTTTGTGCTTGGGGGTTGATCTAATGGGATCAAATACTGAACAGGTTATACAGGTTTGATATGATAGCTTTAGCTTGCGACAGTGAACATAATCCTACTTGTTCAACAGTCGAAAATGTATTGAATTCGGTTGTTGAACAGTCGGATAAACTTTGAATTTAGTTGTTGAACAACCGAAAATACTTTAAATTCGGTTGTTCAGCAATCGAAAAAAAATAAAATCATCTTTTTTTTTAATTTACAAAAATAAACACGGTGCTAATAACTTAAAGTATAACCAAACTATAAAAGATATGCACGTAATTTTCAGATATTTTTTTATCTGAATATGAGACATTAAAGTTTATATTTACAAGGTAATAATAATATATTTTATCTCATTGGTGTGATGATGAGAGTCATAGAGCCTCCGATGTTTGATTGCCAGGCAGAGGCAGAGCTTCTCAGTCCCTTCTCTCACTGAGGGCCAAAAGAGGAAAGAAACCTTGACTACTGTAAATGAAGAGTGATTTTCTGTTTGTGTTTTGAGCAATTTGAATGATGAGCCACTCCTGCACTCACAAAGATTTCAACTATCGCACGTCCTTCCTCCATCCAGGTAAGGCCCTTCTCCCATCTCCCCATGTTTCTCTCCCTGCAAAAAATAGAGTTTTTCTTCAGGGGTTTAAGCTCTATTGCCATACAAACACTCTCTCTCCTTTGAAAACCTTTAAAGGAATCAGAAGCAGGAGATATGGTGGGTGCATTCCATCTGTCCTCCATGCTCTCGAGAGAGAAGCTGACTTAGACAAAGCTCTCAGTCCTTGGGTTGAGAAACTCAGCCCAAAAGAGCAAACCCTAATCCTCAAAGAGCAAAGGGACTGGAACCGAGCACTCTCTGTGTTCAAATGGTTCAAGTCTCAAAGAGACTATATCCCTAATGTGATTCACTGCAATGTTTTACTTAGAATATTGGGTAGGGCTCAGGAATGGGACCAACTTAGGCTTTTCTGGATTGAAATAGCAAAAGATGGTGTTTCTCCCACCAATAACACATATGCAACTCTTATTGATGTTTATGGAAAGGCCGGGTTATCAAAAGAGAGTCTTCAATGGCTAAAACACATGAAAACCAGAGGAATATTCCCTGATGAGGTCACTATGAGCACGGTTGTTCACATTCTTAAAGAAGCACAGAAATTTGATCTCGCTGAGAAATTCTTTGACGATTGGTGTGCATCAAAAATGGATTTGGAAGCCTTAGAATCGGTTAACTCGAACGAAACAGAGATGGGTGCAAAGTATTTCTTATCGACTGAGCTTTTCAAGGCCGGAAAGCTCCCATTTTCTCAACGTTTTACCAGTAAATATCCTGATAGTAATTCCAGCAATGAGGGTCAGTTGTCTTTGTCCAATGCGGAAGAGATTTCTACGAGGAAGCCCCGGCTCACTTCTACATTTAACACTTTGATCGATTTGTATGGAAAGGCCGCCAAGTTAAAGGATGCTTCTGCTACATTCTCTGAGATGTTAAGATCTGGTGTTATGCCTGATCTCGTGACTTTCAATACCATGATTCATATTTGTGCATCAAATGGGCACACATTGGAAGCTGAAGCCTTGTTTGATAAAATGGAAGAGAGAAGAATTTCACCTGATGTAATGACGTTCAACACATTCATAGATATGTACTCAAAATCTGGAGATACCCAGAAAGTCTTGGATATTTATAGGAAGATCAAAGAGGCGGGTCTTCACCCAAATGCCGTAACCCACCGGACGATTCTCCATAACTTTAGTGAGAGAAGGTTGGTACAAGAAGTAGAGTCAATGCTTGAAGAGATGGACCGATTGGGTATAGATATAGATGAGCAATCAGTACCTGTAATTATGAAGATGTATATTGATTTGGGGCAGCTAAATACAGCCAAGGCCTTTTTAGAGAAATTCAACCTGTCAAGTCGGGTATCAATCTCTTCTAGAACATATGCTGCCATTATAGATGCCCTTGCTGAGATGGGTCATTGGTCTGAAGCCGAGGCCATCTTCGTGGGTGTTCGAGGTTCAGGAAACAAGAAGGATGTATCTGAATATAATGTCATGATAAAGGCCTATGGCAATGCAAAGCTTTATGATAAAGCTTTATCCTTGTTTGAGGGGATGAAAAGCCATGGAATTTGGCCAGATGAGTGCACTTATAACTCTCTTATTCAAATGCTTTCTAGTGGAGATTTATCCGATAGTGCAAGGGAAACCCTAGGCAAGATGCAAGAAGAAGGGTTCAAGCCTCAATTGTCTACTTTTTCCTCTGTTTTAGCAAGCTTTGCTCGTACTGGGCGAGCTGCTGAGGCAGTACAAATCTATCAAGAAATGCTTAGAAGTGGTGTTTCACCCAATGAAATTGTGTTTGGGGCCTTAATAAATGCTTATGCGGAAGCTGGCCAAGTTAAGGAAGCCCTTGATTATATCCATAAAATGGAACTATCAGGCTATCCTGCAAATAATGTGGTTTATACATCTGTGATAAAGGGGTATAGTAAAGTAGGTCTTTGGAGAGAAGCCCAGGAGTTATACCAAAAGATGAGGGATCATGGGGATGGTCCAGATATCATAGCATCAAATACCATGATTAATCTTTATGCTGATCTGGGAATGGTACATGAGGCAAAATTCATATTTGATAGCTTGAGGAGAAGTGGTCGGGCTGATGGGGCATCTTTTGCATGCATGATGTGCATGTATAAGAGCATGGGCATGCTAGATGAAGCCATAGAAGTTGCTGAAGAGATGCAAGAGTCAGGGCTTTTAACTGATTGTGAATCTTTTAATAATGTTATGGCCTCTTATGCAATTAATGGGCAGTTAAGAGAGTGTGCTAAGCTCTTTTACCGTATGTTCTCTGAGAAAATTTTGCCAAATAAATCCACTTTTAGGGTAATCTTTACGGTTTTAAAGAAAGCGGCTCTTCCATTAGAGGCAGTTACTCAGCTCGAACTGGCATATAATGATGGGAAACCATATGCGAGGCAGGCAATAGCAGCGCTTCTTTATTCAGTCATGAGAATGCATGAATTTGCACTTGAATCTTGTGAAATTTTCATGAAAGCCGAAATGGCTCTTGATAGTTTTGCATATAATGTTGCTATTTATGCATATGGAGCCTCGGGGCAGATGGACAAGGCATTTAGTGTTTCCATGAAAATGCAAGATGTGGGTATCGGGCCTGATATTGTTACTTACATTAACTTGGTAATTTGCTATGGAAAAGCAGGACTAGTTGAAGGTATCAAAAGGATATATAGCAAAATGAAATACCGGGAGATTGATCTTAATGAATCCCTCTTTTGGGCTACTGTAGATGCTTATAAGGAGGCCGGAAGAAAGGATCTTGCTGAGTTGGTTAATCGGGAAATGAAGTTCAGTTTTGACCTAGAAGAAGAAGAAGAAGAAGAAGAAGAAGAAGAAGAAGAAGAAGAAGAAGAAGAAGAAGAAGGGTCTCATGATGAAGAATTCTATTCTGAGCGTGACGATAGTGAAAGTGTTGTATAGGCTTTAAAACAGAGTGGCAGTGTTTGTCGTATAATTTAGTGTGTTACTTTTAATATGCGCTAATTCTTGATAGGAAGTGGCTTGCTTACATTGGTGCCCATTGGAGCAGATTTATTGTGTTCTTGGCTTCAACTTCTTTTTCGATGGGTCAAAGACAAAAGCTTCAAGTCGCAGTAGGTGCCATCGTAAAAGTGATAATGGTGACCACTCCGTAATTTTGCATGAGAAACCAGCATTAAGTCTTTTCAAGATGAACTCAAAGAAATATATTTTGAGTCGACAAATGGTTTGTGGTGATAATCATCGCAAGATACTAAATTTATGGTCTATGATATCTAGATACATCTTCTGAAGGGACCCTGGCATCATACTTGTTTGTGAATTGACATGTTTCTGAAGGAACAGATACAATGTGGCGCTTCTTTTCAAATATCTTGTTACTTTGCTTTTTCTCCACATGCTATTGTAAATTTAAATGGATCAATAGAAAGGTTTTTGAATATGATGTTAATCTTATACTATACACCTCTCATGGAGAGTGAAATTTGAGATTAATTTTTCCATGGTCATAACTTATGCAAGGTTGATAGATATTTAGTTTTTTATACTTTGGGGTTGGAGAATGAATGGTGGAAAAATGGAACATCATTGGACAAAAGTTCCATAATACAGTTCTGAAACTTTGCTTTCAAATGTTTAAAGAGAAAAATGGTTTGGAAATTCCACAAGATATATCATATAAGAAAATGGGTGAGTTGTTAAATATTTCATCTTAGGTGCTTTTTGATAAATTTTCCAAATGGTTTTCTTATTGCTAGTTAATAAAAGAGATAATTGTATTGTCTTATAAAGTTTTTTGTTAGGACTTAGGATGTTCATCCCTCTTAAGCATCACAGTATCTTTAAAGAAAATTGCTATTGCTATATCCTTTTTATGAAGTCCAATTTTACCTCTTCTGTTGGTCTTTGCTACATTTAACATTTTGTGCCATCATTTATCATCTCTGAGTACCCTTTGGGTAGTTGAAGTTAGTACCGTTTGGGTAGTTGAAGTTTAGATTGGATGAGAAAGTACTGAAAAACTTTAATCAGGTGACAAGAAGGGTGGAACAAAGCTTGCCTTAACATGAACAGACAAATAGTTATGCTGAAACTTTTGGGTGCATAACCGGGCTAAGCTCCCTCTAAACATTCATGTCTTGGAATTCCTTCTCAATTCATTTGCGCCATCAATTTGCATTCCATTAGGGTACATGATCATTAGCCCTTCCATACTTGGATTGCAAAGTTTTTAAAAATGCAGGTTTAGGGAGTTTTCAGAAGCCACTAGCCAGCAAAACCTCCATATTTTTCATAACTAGAAGTCTCTAAACACCAGCCATGTAAAATAACATTTTCCCTACAATATGCCTTGCCTTAGTTTATAAAAAGGTTTATAAATAAAGAGTCTCATACTGTAATGTAAGTTCAATTGTAAAATGGCAGTGTGGAACACATGTAAATTGGGTCACCAAATATATCATTAAATAATTTGTGTTTTTGTGTTCATCATGAAGGGATATGCATTATAATATCTTTTTGTATTCCTGCTGAAGGTTATACTTTCACTTGTAGCTTTAATGGATATTATGCATGTCCTTGATTTCTCAAGCTACACAATCTTCAGTATGACATGTATTTACTACTTAGCTTATGAACGCAATCCACATATACTATGCTTCCTGTCCTTAATTTCTTAAGGTGCACAATTTTCAGTATTCACGCATATATGGCATGTATTTACTAGTAAGGTTATGAACGTATACTATGCTCCTGCAGGAGAAAATTCTTCATCCGAAGCTTTGGGATCCACTTTAGAATCTCAAGATGAGTACTTCTCGACCACAAAAAAACAAGAAAAAAGAGGGCAACTTTGAATATCTAAATACCTAGACCTGGTCGTCCAAAAATTGGATGGCATGCCTACATTCCTAGATTGTGATTCTTTTAGGCCAGTCCAGGATGCATATTCAATAGTTTTTGTTTTTTCTTTTGAGGTCAAACCCCCAAACTTTGGGTTCCTACAAGTACTCCTAGTTAGGATTTTACCCAAGGGAAAAAATGTACAATTTGCTCTGTGGGAGCATATATTCGTGCTAGATAGGTTATTTGCCCTTTATTTCATTTTATCTGTATTAATCAAAGATGAAAACCAGATTCATTTTGTAGACAGCAACGGCTGGCGAAGACACATAATTCTAACGTGAAGTCCTGCCCAAGGAGCTGATGATGCTCTATTGTTATACAAATGAACACACATATGGTGCCCTTTCTCTGTTAATTGGTCATCCCAAAAGATAGCTATAGGTCCATCATGGCTGAAAGATTGTTATGAATTTTTTTATTTTACTTTATAGAATCAAATTATGGTTGGGAATTAATAATTTTTATCGATGAGAAAAAAATACTACCATTTGGACCCTGTATATAACTCTGTTCAATAGAGGCTTGCAAATATTCAATATTGCATTACGCTCATATGTTCTCCCTCTCTCTTGCTCTCTCTCAGACTTTCACACACATGTATGTATGTATGTCTACTGAGAATAGAGATACTGAATCTTTAAAATTTCCTTCACAACTTACTCCTCTTGAGGTATCCTGTGATACTGGGTGCTTGCCCTCACGAGTACTGATCACCCGACGAACAAGAAGCGGTATATGAACAACATGACAAACATAGCACAGAGATTCAACCATTTAGATCTCTTTGAGTCTATCTGAAACATATACTGAAGAATCTCATCGCTGCTCATCCTTGGAAGATTTGCTGCTGAATTATCAAATACGTGGCCTTTAAGATCATTCTGGTACAGTCCCTAGATTCCAGAAGTCAATGAATACTAGTTTGACTCTTCCTCTTTAAAGTATGACTTCACTAGCATTATGTTATAGTCTCTCCTTATCATGCATGTGTATGTGTGTGATAAATGGATACATCTTTTACCTTACCTGTAATGCCCAAAAGTGAAAACTGATGAATGTTATAGGGTATCACAAAATAGGCTTTGGAATGTTACTTTGAAGCCTGAAGTAACCTGAAACTAGAATGAAAGCTCCCTGTTGCATGAAGAAAACTGGAACATGTTAGCTCCATAAAACATAATGTTAAAACTTAATGTGTGTGTGTCTGTATTATGTGTATATTTCAGTTTACGGAAAGGGTAAGTGTAGCAGTCATGGCCCTTGTATGCTATATACTCCCTTGTGTCAGGACATATGTTACCTGGATACATGCTGACATAATTATGCCCGTGAAAAAGCTGGGGACAATGCTAGATATGACCATCATAAGGCTTTCTGCTATTGAAACACTGGCAAAAAGGAACAAGAGAAAGTAGATGTAATGGATAAAGCCTGAATGGAGGCCAGCCATCCAAATAGCAAATGCTCCCTGATAAGAAGCTTATCAATATCAGAAATGGTGTGGATGAGAGAGTGTTCCCAATAATAAAGGATATGACACCATAGTGCCCATTTTGCTTCTCTCGTTCGAATACCTGAAAGTTTCTATCAGAGGATTAGAGCACTGTACATAACTAATGAAAGAAACAAAATTTTAGTCAAGAAAAAGGTTACAATAGGTGCATGGTAGCCACTCTATGTTGGCCACCAAGGGCATTAGACATGAGAAACAGAGACATCAGTAACGCTTAATTTTCAAAAGAATTAGAAGTACAACTCAAGGTCGTGACTGATCAAATGCTATTTTTTTTTTCTCAACTAAGTAGGGCTGTACATTAAAATTCAATAGTAAATACTAAAAAAAAAAATCATATGAAATTCTTTATGCTGACGGAATATTTTGACTGACCTTCATATCTTCGCCAAATGATGGAAATCCTCCAATAGACATGAAAGTGATAATGTATAAGATGAATGAAATGCTCGAAGTTCGGGCCTGCTGCAGTTGCCATGATTTGTTAGATTGGTTTGGATAAATAGTTGTCAAAACTGAGGAAGCTATTATGCAACACCATCTCTTATAGTCATAGGGGTTGAGAATTTTTCTTAGGATTGGTTGTGTTTCTGTTTGGGCATACATAAGAGGCTGCAGTTCCATGTTTCATTTGCGGAGTGATCTTTCATGCAGATTTCTGAATTCATC